CAAAAGTCACTTTATGAAAAAGACACCTGCACTTGAATGTTTATAGCAGCACAGTTCACAATTGCAAAGACATGGACACAACCCAGTGCCCATCAATACATGAGTGCATGTACTGTGGTATACATATAATGTGGTATATGTATACCATGGAGTACTATTCAGCTATACAAAACAATGGTGATATAGCACCTCTTGTACATTCCTGGATAAAGCTGGAACCCATTGTATTAAGTGAAGTATCTCGAAAATGGAAAAATAAGCACCACATGTACTCACTAGCAGATTGGTATTAACTGAGCAACACATAAGTGGACATATAGAAAAAACATCTATCGGGTGTCGGGTAGGAGGGGATGGGTATATACATACATAATGAGTGTGATGCACACCAACTGGGGGATGGACAGGCTTGAAGCTTTGAGTCAAGGGGCGAGAGGGGCAAGGGAAATATATGTAACCTCAACATTTGTACTCCCATAATATGCTGGAAAAGAGAAAAAAAGAAAAATAAATAAATAAAACGCAGCATTGGAATTCAGAAAAACAACTTTTTTTTTCTTTTTATGTGTTATGAGTATGATTGTTCCAAGACTTTTGGTTCTAATTATTCAACTTAACAAAGTCTATTTATTAACAAGGAAACCAAGAAGGTGACACTATTTTCTTGGCTACTCCCTCGCCAAACAGTCATATAAAATCCTGTTCCTGCTCTGATCTTGAAGAAGAATGTGTACTAAGAACAAATGCCAAGCAAAAGTGGCCGGGGGCGGGGGAGGGGGGGGGCACAGACTGTATCTTAACATCACCAAACATTATCATGCTGAATATTGACTCGCAACTGCTAAGCCTAAACAATACCAAAAAATGTAACACCATTGAATTGTCATAAATTGGCCTCAATTGTGTGGCTGCTCTGCTGAGGAAATGTAACTGACAAGTGTATCTAAAGGGGAGAGGATTGAGCTTTAAAGTCAGAGGATCCAGTCAGCTCTCCCCTCCCCATCTCTGCTTGCTCAGAGGGCACTTGGGCCCACTCCGTCCTGCTGCAGGGTCTGCTGTTCTAAGGCTGTCACAGCAGATGGGGTCTGAAGCGTGGTGCCTGAGGTGCAGCCAAGGTGCAGGTCCAGCTGCAACCTAGTCTCCTGAGGTCTCCAACATATTCCACTTGTGAAGATTCAGAGAATATACTCTGTGTTCTCCCTAGTGAAGGAAAAAATTAGGGCAGCTGGGACTATTGATCAAAGGAGATTTGTGTTCCAGGCTGTGTCATTTTATTAGGAAACTACAGATCTTGCTGCCAGTAATAAACTCCAACATTTCAGCCTCCATACTTCTGATTTTGAGCATGAAATCTGTCCTGACCTGGTGCCACACAACCACTCTAGGAACCCAGGAAACTGAAAGGAAAACAAACAGATCAAGAGCCATAGAGACCAGCCTGGCTTCTGCAGGTCTCAATTCACACAGGTGTTTCCATCGGCTATGCAGGAGGTCTGACCAGCGCTGCAGGAGACGGAGGCGGCTCTCCAGGGTGACGGGCAGGGAGAGTGGGGTCTGGCATCACAGTATCCTCACTGGATCCTGAAAATAAGAGAGAGAAGTGCAAGGTTATGTACAAAACTTAAAAGCAATTTACATTATTTTTATTTTATTATTTTATTTCAGGCTAAATCATTTTTCATATGTGTGATTTTGATTCATACACCGGAATCTCCCATTTCAAAAGGAATAAGGTTTACAAGCACACAAAGGCTGCTAGAATTCTCTATACATGCCCTGTCTCTGTGTCAGAGTCTTCACCAACACAGTCATTCCTCCTTTGGAACTGTCCTCACTCTCTCAGATCTAAACTCACATGTCCACCCTCAAGGGATAAAAGGTGCACATCTAACACATGCACAGAGCACACATGGGAGGCAGTGGGGCCGTAGAGGTCTCCCCAACCATCCTCCTTCCTCATCTCCTTCTGTCCTTACCAGGACCCAGAGCACCAGCAGCCCAGGAGCTGAGCAGGGAGCCTCATTTTGGAAGTTGGACTGAGGAGTCCTGGTCAGTCCAGGGAAGTTTAGAGCGAGCTTTGTCTCAGACATACAGGGGAAGGTCCTCCCTAGGGGACAGCATGCAAATCTCCTGGTAGGTGCAGCTGTCTAAAGAGTCAATGTACAATATTTTCTAATACTAAAAAAAGTTTTTGCTACTCCGCTAGGTTAACAAAGCACCATGTGGCCTGAGACAGAGAAAGAAACATAATAAACCAGCCCCCAAATCTAGTGACTTCACATTGTGCATAACTACTAGAGTCTGTGGGGAGGTGAAAGAATAAACTCTATTATGATCCAGAATTGAAGAAAGGAAAGTCAAGTAGGATTGTCAGACAATATTATCATGTGAGACTCTGGTGAGATTCAACTTACTCAAAACCCAAATCATACAGTGCAGGCAGCTTTCCTTCTCCTGAGGTGGTGAGACGTGGTGGTGACTTGCAAAGCAGGAGGGCACTGAAGCTCATCAGTGGCAGAGGTGAATCACAACACACTAGTGTCCCCTCCCGGTGGCATACTGAGCAACTGTGCAGCCATGAGGGCAGCAGGGAACTGAGTGGCTGCTCCAGGGAGGACGAGGCAGCACTGCCTGGAGGGTCTGTGGGTGTTGAGAAGCCTGAGTGGGGAGGAGGAGAGGCTCTGGGAGCTGTCCTAGGGGCCCTGTCCCCTGTTACAGAAGAGGAACCGGTGTCAATTTTATTGAGGCCTCTGTGCCCTGTCCCCAAGGCTCTGCAGCCGTCTCCACCTGCGCCAGCCTGGCTTGGACTCGTCCTCTGGGCACAGCTGCTGCTCCTGCCACAGCGACAGGCTGAGCCTCCTGGGAGGTTTGGGACTGGGGCCGTCACACTGTGCAGGGCCTGTCAGTGTCCTTCTCACAGGAGTGTGTGTAGTGTCCCCAGGATTCTCATGGGTGACTGCAAGAGCATAATCAATAGAATTTTGTTGAGACATTTGTCTCTCTTGTGAATATACTTTGTAGACTTTTTATTCTTTGTTTTACAAATTCTTTTCTATAAACCATATTTTTCTTTGTTTGTGGACTTTTGGTTAAGAATACAATTATAATTATACTACCTCTGGTCTCCTGGTGATTGTGGGAGTGAAATCAGTAGATATTTGATTGGATGTGTCCCCACTTGAGAATGTACGTGTAGAAAAACATTCAAGATATGTCATTCTCCGTATGTGTTTAAAACTTCTTGCTATAAACCATACTTTCTGCTTTTTTTTTAATATTTCAACTGAAGAATACAAGTTTAATTGCACTTACTGTGGAATCCATTTTGTTAAAATAGAAAATCATTTCTGATGTGCCAGTGATTTGACCATATTTGACCTCTACCATATTCACATCATACTCCCATAGCTGCAGTCTGTCCACAGTCTGAAAATTCTTAGCTTTTGAGAAAGAAAAAGTCACATTATTCTGTGTTATTTCAGTGGTATTTGAGGTAAGTTCTATAAAATATGTCTTCTAGGGGGATTGTTTGTTTCTTTTTAAAACCCAACTTTTCAAATGTCAAGAATTGCCTTTGTCTATTAGCAAGAGGCAATTGAACCAAATAAAAGAGTTTTAGCATTAGAATCTTCAATCATCCACCATGAATTTACAAAATTCTATTTGGAGGCTTAAAAACTAAGATTTCTACTACTTGTCCTCAGCCAGCGGCTCCTGTGGGCAGCTTGTGTAGAATTCTCTCACCACCATCATTGTAGTGGTAAGAAGTGAAAGGAGAAGAAGGAATTTGGGAAAGTGTGAAAGTACCAATTGCTGAATATTAACAAATATTATCCTCTTAAAAGTATGCATAAAACTGCTACACCTCAAGATGTATTCAACACATAGTGCCATGAATCTGCATTAATTGTCTGGCTATTCTGCTGATTGAGGCTTATTGACAAATGCAGGCAAAGCAGGAGGATGAGGATGAGATTTCACTTGCCTCTCCCTTCAGTCAAGCCTAGTTACTCAGAAGGCGCTGGGATCCTATTCATTTTCCTGCTTCTTACGCCATGCCAGGGCTGTTGCCGATAACAGGGCTAAAAATGGATTCGCCTGACACATAGACAAGGCCTCATGTAACAGAGACCTCAGATGCAACGTGTTGCCCTGAGTTCTCCAACACCTTCCTCTTCTACAGCCAGAGATTCTGCTGAGCTGTCAGCAGGCAACACATTTGGGCAGCTGGGCCACCCCAAGCATGGAGGTTTGTGTTCGGGGCTGTATCACTGTGTGATGAATCTTTGTACTTTGCCCGCAGTAATACACTCCCACATCCTCAGCCTCCACCCTGCTGATTTTCAGTGTGAAATCTGTCCCTGACCCACTGCCACTGAACCTGTCTGAGACCCCAGAGTCCCGGTTGGAAACCTGATAAATCAGGCGCCTTGGAGGTTGGCCTGGCTTCTGCAGGAACCAATACAAATAGGTCTTTCCATCGCTGTGCAGGAGGCTCTCACTGGCCCTGCAGGAGATGGAGGCTGGCTCTCCAGGGGTGACAGGCAAGGACAGGGGAGTCTGGGTCATCACAACATCACCACTGGATCCTGAAATAATAAGAGAGAAGTGCAAGGTTACATATAAACATTAGAGGCACTTTCATAATTTGCTTTTGATAATTAGTTTAGGCTAAATTTTTTGCTTGCTCTAGGTTTTGAATTATATTCCCCAAATATACAGTTTTACAAAAGAATGGAGATTTTCAAAACCCAAAGAAGCCAATATAATTCCTTTCTATTGTTCCCCTGTTTTTGTGTCAAAGTTTTCACCAGAGCTCAGTCAGGCCCTTGCTCTTTCTGGAATGTTCCTCAGTCTCTCAGATGTAAATCTCACGTGACCCATCCAGGAGGACAAGACGTGCACATCTAACACATGCACAGAGCACACGTGGCAGGCAGTGGGGCCCCACAGCTCACTCTCCCACCCCGTCCTCCTTCCTCATCTCCTTCTGTCCTTACCAGGGACCCAGAGCACCAGCAGCCCCAGAAGCTGAGCAAGGAGCCTCATTTTGAGCAGTTGGACTGAGGAGTCCTGGTCAGTCTAGGCCAGGTTGGGGCTGAGCTTTTATCTCACACTCACAAGGGAAGGTCCTCCCTAGGGGACAGTATGCAAATGCCCGGGTGGGTGCAGTGGAGTGGAAGGGAACAACAGGTTGGTGTGAGTCTCTCTTGTGAGCAAAGTGACACGTATGTCCCCAGTGTTTGGAGCGAAAGTAACAGAGAAAAATTCCATGTTGTCTAAGTAAGATAAGGGATTTTAATGTTTCTTTCTTGTTTCTTTTTTATTTGTGAGGCCTTTGTTCTATCTGAATGATTCAGGTTGCTGTCTGTGGTAATATGCCATGATTCTGAAGGATTTCCTTTTGAATTATATTCAGGGTGTATCTGCTAGTCATGGCATACTTTCTGTTTTCTTTCTGAAGGATAGTTTTGCTTAACATAAAATTCCTTTTTGACATTTTTTCTGTGAGCACTTTAAATAACTTTCAAATTAATATGAATCCTATACTATTAACCAATTTATAATTCATATTTGAATTTCATTTAGAATTATACTAATGTATTTTTTTATGTTTTTGGTAAAATTCCAGGATTCCATACTGCATTTATTTTTCACGCTTCCTTCATTTCCTCCAGTCTGTGACAGTTGTTTAGTTTTTGTTTGTGTTTCAATATTTTGAAACTTTTGAGTTATACTGTCCAGTTATTTTGACTAATGACCCTCTAATCACACTTATTTGATGTTTTTCATTGATTTGATTCAGATTTTTCATTTTTTTCAAGAATATTATGCAAGGGTTGTGTCATTAGTGCATGATGTCAGAAGTTATAACATGTTATGTCAACATATCATTTCTGGTGATGATAAATGAATATGACTAATGAAACTCTTTTTATAAGAAAACTTTATGAAAGGTAATCAAGGCTATTTGGTCACTCTTACTATGTGGTTATATGCTGACTTTGTCAGCAATACGCTATGACTGTCTGGTATGGTTTGAATGTTTGTGTCCTTTTGAAATTCATGTTGAGCCTTAAACCCCAAGGTGATGGTAATAGATGTAGTGCCCTCTAGGTAGTGATTGAATCAGGAGGGCTCTGCCCCCATGTGTGAGATTAATGCCCTCATGAACAAGGCTCCAGAGCACTGCCTGCTCCTTCCACCTCTTCTGCAACACGAGGACACAACCCTCACTTTGCCTCTTTTTGCCCTCCCTCCTTCCAACATGTGAGGACACAGAAAGAAAATTTCATCTTGAACTCACAGAGAGCCAAGCTCATTAGACACTGCATTTTCTGGTGTCTTGATCTTGGACCTCCAAGATCCAGAACTCTAGACCTGTGAGAAATAAGTGTTTACTGTTGATAAGTTTCCCAGTCTGTGCTATTTAGTTATAGCAGCACAAATGAACCGAGACACTGTCTCTGACATCTTTTCCCCAATATTTATTTCTATGTAATATCTGTTGCCAAACAGAGAACATTGAATAAATAAATGATGGTCACTGAAATGAATGTGTCTATCATGAGCATTTACCATTGGAATGTTGATATCCTGGAAAAAGGAAAAGAGCACTGGGATTTATTAAGCATGGTTGTGCCACCATTGCACAGCTGTTGTGAAGTCAACTGTTTGCACAAATGGATAGCATTATCTATCATTTAGAATGTTTCAGAAATCAAATGGAGATGTACAGAATTCACTGAGTACTTCTTTCTTGGGAGGCTCAGATACTGTTGGTGCCATGATGAGATCCACACAGTTGGGACATGGTTTCCTAGAATGAGAAATTCTGGTGCCTCAGCTGAAGAATAGGTTACTACATTGACCTGGTATTTATTTCTCAGAATGGATACTTTCCAAGTTTTCCTTTTATGATTTCAATAATCAATGGGATTATGTTTTGATTGTTGTCAAATATAAAACATTAGGAGAGGGTAGCAGGTTAAGAGGGAAAATCAGAAAAGTCCCAGCCAGACATGAATAGATTGAGTTAGTCTGACTTGGGCTTTTGGGAAAAAATACGCACAGGACAAATATTTGAAGAAGTCATAGGTATTAAAAAAAAAACAGTATGTCAGTGCAACCTGGAAAATATTTCCTGAGAACAGATGAGGCACACATGTAACCAACACCATTGTTTTCCATTGTCCTCTTACTCATTGACAAACCATGTCCAAGGTTCCTGAAGATCTGGGAAGATATATCAGCTCAATCCTGTTTCTAGAGCCAGGGGTTGGCTGTGAATATGAGCAAATGTGGGTGTAACTTACACGTCTATAAGTCCATGGACACTGTCTTGGGGAGGACCTGCAAGTGGTGACCTGTCTCCCACCTTGATGAGGACACCTTGATCCCTGTCCTCCTGATGCCACTCAATGACCAGAACCTAGGCTGTTCACCTGGTCCTCACTCCCTTTTATTTTTTACTAGACAGACCCTCCCACTCACATTTCTTTCTAACTTGTAATTTCTTTAGATTCATTTTCCCAGACATATGCTCTGCCTTGTAGACACTATGTGACAGAGGGAACTATTTTTAAGGTAAATACACTAGTAGTTTCCATGGCTGTTATTTGCTCTATGTCCACAGGGTCTGCTAGATGAATGGGCTGCAGGAAGAGGTGTAAAATCATTGCTGAAAGAAAAGTGTGAGCTACAAAATGAAATAAAGAAGTGGTGATCACTTCCTCTGAACAACCTTGGTAGTGAGTTGGTATCCACCGGGGAGGAAAAAAACATGTTCCCAGGTTTGGTAAGAACATGAAAACTTTAAGACGTGTTTAATGATCATCTCAGAGCTACCTTAGATTTATTTTCTTACATCCTGAACTCCTCTGAGCACACACTGACAGAGAGGTTTGTCCTTCTAATTTCCTGGGTTGGTAGTAAAATAGAATATTTACTCTGCTAGTAGAAATGGAAAATGGTGTAGCATATTTGGAAAACAGTCCAGCAGTTCAAGTTTTAAACAAAGAGTTATTACATGATCCAGTAATTCTACCACTAGGCATTAATAAATACCCAAGATAAATGTAAACATATATGCACACAAAACCTTGTACTTGAATGTTAATGGTAGCATATGGGTCCATCTCTAGAATTACTGAGGAACACCTCTGCCCAAAAGAGGAGTCCCCAGAATTCTCTGTGATGCATTTCAACTAAGTGGATTAACTTAAACATCTCTCATCAACTGGTCTATGTGGGTTTTACTCATCTTGTCTCCATTGAATGGTATAGCAAGGATAATTCTGTGTATGCTTTGGGTTCACTATTATTATTATTTTGGAATATAACAGGGGTACAAATGTTTAGGTTACATATATCCCCCGAGTCAGAGCTACAAGCATGCCCAACCCCCACACAGTGCTCACTGCACCTACTAGGTGTGAATATACCTATCCCCTCCTCCCCTGCCCGCCTTCCTGACACCCAATGAATGTTATTTCCATATGTGCACATAAGTGCTGATCAATTAGTACCAAATAGATGGTGGGTATATGTGGTGCTTGTTTTTCCATTCTTGTGATACTTCAATTAGGAGACTGTCTTTATAATACAATGTCTTTTTTTTCTTTAGGCTGATTCCCAGTACTGGGATTGCTGGATCAAATGGTATTACTACTTTTAATTCTTTGGGATATCTCAATATTACTTTCCATATTGGTTGTACTAGTTTGCACTTAATTTGAAGTAAAAAAAATAACTTTCACATACAGTAATAATGCTGTAGGTCTTAGAAGACAAAAAAAATTTCCTAACAAAAGCAGAAGAGAACAGGAAATAAATTTAAAGAGTCATGTTTCTGATGACGTGAGAGCACTATAGAAGAAATAAAGAGCAGATGACCTAACATTTCAGTGAGGAAATACCCTTTGTAGGTGAGCTGATATTCTCCTGTCATTGTACTTTTTAGTGAAATTTGCCAGATTTGAGAGTGGTTGGCGATTTGGGCTCAGCCCAGGCAGAGGATTCTACTGGGAGGAGAATCCAGCTGAGTCTGGCAGGTGCGTGGAGCGACCTTAGCAGACTGGACCAGGGCTGAACCCAAAACATCAGGCAGTATTTCTCCTTGGGACATTAGCTGAGGTCTGGGTCAGGAGCAGTGGCTGGGGCTGGACCACAAAGGTGGAGTTAAGCCTCCCTCATTCCTGTGGGTTTCCTTCTATAAAGCTGCACTGAATGTCCTTCATGTGTGTCTCAGACGTGGGCCCTGGGCTTCTGTCCCTACATCTCCTGATGATCTTCCAGCCCCAACTCTACCCTGGTCAACCTCTAAATTATTTTCATGCAAGGTCTCTCCTGAATGACCATTCTCTTTCCAGTCACATCCAGATATAATATGGGGAAAGAGTCAATTTTGAAAGCTCATCTCTACCCTGCTGGGATGACTAGGAATGCTTCATATGACCTAAAGTGCATGCACTAGGACATTTGCTAACCTGTGAGTCACCAAGGCCTCAGAGCCCTGCATGATGCACGACTTCCCCACGAGCTTGCAGGGACATCAGGGCACAACCTGAAGGCCAGTCAGGAACTATTTGTCACTGTATTTCCAATGAATATGCATGAGATTCCATCAGGGTTTGTAGCTCAACCCCAACGTCACCAGCATTCCCTCAATGACAAATGTGAGCATCGGAGCTGGGTGTTGCACCAACAGCTGCTGTCTGCCACGTGTCCTTCCAGTTCTCCTTCACTGCTGCTCCCAATTCTAACATTCTTATTCTTGGGAGACAAAATTACCTTATATTATCTTATATTTTCAAAAATTCTCTTGAATATGGCATATAAATATATGTTTTCTAATTCTTCCAGACTTGATTATTTATTTTTACAATTCAGATAAGGAATTCAAAAATCTCTCCTTTCATTTCAATATGCTGTGACTGAGACTAATCAAAAACTTTGACACATTACTTTTGCTTTTAAATAGATTTCACAAAGTCTATGGAGCAGTCAAAACCCAAGAATATGGACAATTTTACTTTGGTACTCCCTGA